GAGATAATATTAAGAAATGTGTGCTACCAAGTGGAATCCGACAGGACGAGGTACAGAATGACCCACATGCCAACCTTATGCTCGCAAGTGCGACCTCTGACTCTGCTGTTCGATTATGGGATGTGGAGCGAGGCGTCCAGGTCCTGGATTCCCACCCGGAGGACGGCAGAGACCCGGGCTGGGGCTCGGGCTGGGACCCAAACGCCCCAGAGGGGAGGAGGAGAGGGGGTGCCGGCTTCACCGGGTCCCGGGACCCCCACCCAGAGCGCCAGGGGCCCCGCGTCTCTCCAGACCTGCGCTGTGGAGACCGGGACCCTGAGCCCACCCGCGGGCTGGCCCGGCCTCCGGGCCGCAGGGAGCTGGCGAGGAGGCGAGGAGGCACCGGGGTCTGGAAGGGGTGGTGTCAGCTCTGGGCGCCCCGGGACCCAGGGAGCCAGTGATGTCCTGGTTTGGGGACCCCGCACGGAGCGCTGACCGCCCAGCGCTGGGCTCCCGGCTGCATTGGGCGGGACCGGGAACGGACAGAGGGGGACCCCCCTGTGCCAACCTCCCTTCCCCGCCCCAAGCGAGGGTGCAGGTCCAGGCTGGACTCTCCCGGGAGGAGGGACCCCGCAGGACCCGCTGGGAATGAGCCGGGAGCTCAGCTGCCGGGAGGGGACCCGGAGCACCCAGCCCCGAGCGGCCGGTCCGCGCCCCCTCTCCGCGCCCCTGGCCAAGCCCCCGCCCGCCACCTGCTCCCTCCCTCCTGGGCCCCGACTGCCCCCAAGGCCAGGACCAGGCGCTGGGATCCCCGCAGCTCCTTTCCCAGACTTGGGGGGCGGGGGGCGGACACGGGGCACACCCTGCCCGGTGCCCGCAGGCAGGCTGCGCGGGGGTTGGAGGGAACAAAATCGAGGAGGCGGGGGCAGCTGTCCCCCCCCTCGTCCCTGCACCCCTCTCCGGGGTCCCCCACCCCTTCCCGGGTCCCCCCACCCCTCTCCGGGGTCCCCCACCCCTTCCCGGGAGGACCCGGGCGCAGCCGCCACGCGTGAACCCCTCTGAGCTCCGGGCACCGCAGCCCCGGCCCCCGGCCCGGGTCTCCCTCCCGGACACTCAGAGGCCGGACACTCCGCTGATGTTTGCGCCCACCCTGCCCGGGCGATTCTAAACACACACCCTCTCCTCCACCCAGAGGAGGGCACAGGCGTGGACACACACTCACACTCACACTCACACGCACGCACGCACACACCGCGCCGGCTCCCGCTCACCCGCCTCCAGGGCCCCTCGGCGGGTCCGGAGCCCGGGGCCCGGGGCGGGCTGCCCCCTGCGAGCCGGAGCCGGTCCGCCAGCCGCTCCCCGCCGCCTCCTCCTCCTCCTCCGCGCGAGTCCCGGAGCCTCAGACCGCGGCGCGCGGGGCCGGGTGCCCAGATGCCGGGAGCGCCCGCCTTCCCTCCCTCCGCGCCCCGGGCAGCCCCCACCCACCGGGCTCACCTGGGGGCTGGGGTCCCCCCAGAGCCCGCGCCCCCACCCACCGGGCTCACCTGGGGGCTGGGGTCCCCCCAGAGCCCGCGCCCCCACCCACCGGGCTCACCTGGGGGCTGGGGTCCCCCCAGAGCCCGGCCTAGGGGCGGGGGGCAGGGGCGGGGAAGGCGGCCGGCCCGGGTCTCGCCAAGGTTCCCTCTGTGAATCCAAACACACAAACTGCTGGATGGGAAACCTCTCTCTCTCCTCCTCCCCTCCCCTCCCTCCCCTCCCTCTTTCTCTCCCATCCCTCAGCTCCCGGCCGCCTGCCTTTTATTTCTGTTTGTGCTTCCGGAGGAGGAGGAGGAGGAGGAGGAGGAGGAGGAGGAGGAGGAGGAGGAGGAGAGGGGGAGGAGGAGGAGGGAAGGATGGAAGGATGGATGGATGGATGGATGGATGGATGGATGGAGGGATGGATGGAGGGAGGGAGAGGTGGGTGGATGGATGGATAGATGGATGGATCCTGGCAAAGGCAGATGGCGCGGGGCCAGGCCAGGGATGGCTCCCCGAGACCCCCTCCCTCCCCTTGGGGTCCTCTGCGCGCTCTGTGCTCTGGTTGGGGCGCGGGGACTGGCGTTTTGGGGTGCGCTCTGCGCGCCTGGGGGCCGTGGTGGGCGGGTGGGGACCGAGGTTTCCCTCCAGCCCGGCCTGGCACGCAGGGGGGGACGCGGCGAGGGGGAACGGCTCGCCCCCCACCCCCCCTCCCCACCCCCCGCCCCAGAGGATCCTGGGGCCGAGGGACTCACACACCCAGGATGGTTGCGCGGGGGCTGGTTACCTGAGCTCAGGTCCCTGCGCGCAGTCCGGAGGCCGGGAAGCGGGGCCTCTGGCTAAGGGTCTCCCCTTCCTCAGCCCAGAGCGCCCCTCCCCGAGGGAGATGGGGGGCGACGGGTTCCGGGGGCGCCCTGGCAGCTGGGGCTGGGGTGCGCTCAGCCGGACTGGGGAGGGTGCCTCCCTGCCCGCCCTCCCTCGGGGTGCTCCCACCCAGAGGAGTGGGGGGCGCAGCCAGCGCGGGGTGCAGGGCGCCGCGTGGGTCGGGAGAGGCCAGGGGCCCGAGGAGCCTGGGAGCCCAGCCCCCGCAGGCGTCCTCCTCCTCAGCCCCCCCAAAGCCGGAATGTGCTGGGGCGCCCAGGCCAGAGCTCCCCTCTCTCTGGGCCCCGCCCCGGGGCTCCCTGACTGCCCGGCCCCTCCTCCCCTGGACACAGCTCCCGGACAGGACAGGGCAGGGCAGCCTGGCCTCAGAGCCCCCGGGGCACCGGCAGACACAGGGGCACCGGAGGCCAGGCTGGGAGTCACAGGTCCCGGTGGGTGGGGCCGTGGGAGCCTCCAGGGGGTCCTTGGCGCTCCTTCAACAGCTCAAAGGCCTTTCTTCTGGGAGGGCCAGGCCTAGTGGGGCCGCAGGCGGAGACCAGCGCCCAGTGGGGCCGCAGGCGGAGACCAGCGCCCAGGGGGGCCTCAGGCGGAGACCAGCGCCCAGTGGGGCCGCAGGCGGAGATGGCCTAGTGGGGCTGCAGGCGGAGACCAGCGCCCAGGGGGGCCGCAGGCGGAGACCAGCGCCCAGTGGGGCCGCAGGCGGAGACCAGCGCCCAGTGGGGCCGCAGGCGGAGACCAGCGCCCAGGGGGGCCGCAGGCGGAGACCAGCGCCCAGTGGGGCCGCAGGCGGAGACCAGCGCCCAGTGGGGCCGCAGGCGGAGACCAGCGCCCAGTGGGGCCGCAGGCGGAGACCAGCGCCCAGTGGGGCCGCAGGCGGAGACCAGCGCCCAGGGGGGCCGCAGGCGGAGACCAGCGCCTAGTGGGGCTGCAGGCGGAGACCAGCGCCCAGGGGGGCCGCAGGCGGAGACCAGCGCCCAGGGGGGCCGCAGGCGGAGACCAGCGCCTAGTGGGGCTGCAGGCGGAGACCAGCGCCCAGTGGGGCCGCAGGCAGAGATGGCCTAGTGGGGCGGCAGGCGGAGACCAGCGCCTAGTGGGACCGCAGGCAGAGACCAGTGCCCAGTGGGGCCGCAGGCGGAGATGGCCTAGTGGGGCGGCAGGCGGAGACCAGCGCCTAGTGGGACCGCAGGCAGAGACCAGCGCCCAGTGGGGCCGCAGGCGGAGATGGCCTAGTGGGACCGCAGGCAGAGACCAGCGCCTAGTGGGACCGCAGGCAGAGACCAGTGCCCAGGGGGGCCGCAGGCGGAGACCAGCGCCCAGTGGGGCCGCAGGCGGAGACCAGCGCCCAGTGGGGCCGCAGGCGGAGACCAGCGCCCAGTGGGGCTGCAGGCGGAGACCAGCGCCCAGGGGGGCTGCAGGCGGAGACCAGCGCCCAGGGGGGCTGCAGGCGGAGACCGAGGCGGCTGGGTGCTGGGGAACCTTCCGGATCCTGCTGGGGGGCCAGGTGAGGGTCCGCTGTGGGCAGAGCCTGCCCGGGGGTGAGAGCTGCTCAGAGGGGAGCGGGTGTGAGCCAGAGGGTCCCCGAGCACAGGCCCAGGCGGGAGACGGCGCCCGCAGGGGCCTCCGGCACCTGGGAAATGCAGAGCCCCGGGCGGGCGGAGACAGAGGCCGCTCCCACCGAGGCGGCCGGCCGCCTGACCGGAGGCGGTGATTTACCGGGTCCCCCGGGAGAACAGATGGGGGATGAGCGTTCCTGGTGGCGGGAGGCCTGCTGGCCGCTCGGCCGCTGCTGCGGGCACAGCTTTACCGCCGTCCCCGTCCCCGGGGGGAGCCCGGAGCCCGGGATAGACACGGTGACGGCCGTCCCCGGGCCCCGGCCTGCCAGCCGCCCCCGGGGCCACTGACCGGGAGGAGAAAAACCGGGAGCCCGGAGCCCGGGATAGACACGGTGACGGCCGTCCCCGGGCCCCGGCCTGCCAGCCGCCCCCGGGGCCGCTGACCGGGAGGAGAAAAACCGGGAGCTCGGAGCTCCGGGGGGGTCTGAGGCCGCCGGATCGCGCCTCTGCGTTTAGGGGAACAGCCGTTATTTCCTGGCTTCCGCGGGTGTGTGTGTGTGTGTGAGTGCATGTGAGTGCGCGTGTGCGTCTCTGTGTGTGTGTGGGTCTGTGTGTGTGCATGTGTGTGTGTCTGTGTGCGTGTGAGAGTGCATGTGTGTGTGTGTGTGTGTCTGAGAACGAGGTGCCAGCAGCAAAACCCGAGGCCACGCTGGAAACGCCAACATTCGATCGCTTTTTCTCATTTTATTTATGTTCTTTTATTTTTTTAATTTTTATTTTATTTATTTATTTTTATTTTTTAAAGCGATGTAAACACTCATATACCCTTCATTTATTTTATTTATTGATCTATTTTTAAATCAGCTTAACAATAACCCACAACCTTTGGACTAATTTTGATCTATTTTTTAAAAATATATTTTATTGATATTTTACAGAGAGGAAGAGAGAGGGATAGTTAGAAACATCGATGAGGGAGAATCATCATCCATCAGCTGCCTCTTGCACACAACCAAGGTGCATGCCTCTGACAGGCCGACGCTCTATCCACTGAGCCACACCGGTTTTTGCTTATTGATATTCTTTTAATACACACACACACACACACACACACATCCTTACAATTAAATCAGAGCTCAAGCACTCAGAGCTGAGAGCAATTCCGAGTTGAGATGTTGGGTGTTTTTTTTGTTTGTTTGTCTGTTTTATTGATTACGGTATTTTTAAAATGAGGCTGCACGAGGTGGCGATCGGAGGCGAAACGGCTGTCAAACGTAGAAACAGGAATTGAATCTCTTCCTCTTGGCGGGGTCCTGCACGTTGGCCTGGCCGTAGGGGCACTGCGGGGGAAGGAGACGGGTTGTTAACGACTTCCCTGGAAGAGCAAAGGCTGCTGCTGGCTCCGGTGAACAAAGGGGCCGGGGACCACGTGACCGAGGCCATTTGATCTCTCGGGTCCTGCAGAGCGAGAGGGGGAGTCGGGAGGCATCGTCCCCCCAATCAGGGTCCCAGGGTCACTAGGTCCTACGGGCATCCTTCCGGCTGTGAGGTCTCACGGCCGAAAGCTCGCCCGTAGAAAACCCCCAGGCCCCCGTGTCAGCGGAGTCTTAGGCACTTCGGTCCGACAGACAATGGCACAGGCGGGGACACGCATAAGAGTGCAGGCCTCACTGGCCACGGCTGGCCTCAGTCCGTCCCTCCTCCGTCAGGACGAAATGGTGCGAGCAGCCGGCACCCACAGGCTCCCTCTCATCTCCGTGGCCATGCGCCCGGAGAATGCATTCCCGTTTCGCAAAGTTACAGAAACGGAAAAGCCATTCCCGTTTCTTTCTTTCTTTTATTATTTTTTATTTTATTTTATTTATTTATTTTTGCTGAAAATGGGGAAGGAGTGGTTGGTTCACCTCCATCGGTGTGCTTAGAGATGTACATTCACCGACCGAGACATTTTATTCCTAAATGCGTGGTTTGGGGTAGTTTCATGGTTAAAGACAGAGCAGAAAGATGACAGAAAGAATGAGAAAGAGGCAGAAGAGGAAGAGGAGGGAGGAGGAGGAGGAGAAACAGGAGGAGGAGGGAGAGGAGGAAAAGAAGGAGGAGGAGGAGGAGGAGGAGGAGGAGGGAAAGGAGGAGGAGGGAGAGGGAGGAAGATGAGATGGAAGAAGGCAGAGGAGGAGAAAGAGGATGAGGAAGAGGGAGAGGAGGAAGGGGAGAAGGAGGGGAGGAGAAGGAGGAAGAGGAGGGGGAAGAGGAGGAAGAGAAAGGGGGAGGAGGATGAGGAGGAAGAAGGCGGAGGAGGAGAAAGAGGAGGAGGAGGAGGGAGAGGAGAAAAAGGGAGCAGGGAAGGAAGGGAGGAAGGGACTAAGGAGAGAAAACCGTTATCCTTTAACGGGATCCCCGCCTGCCGGAGCCGGGCGCGCTCCTGTGGCTTCCGCTAACGGCCGGCCATGAAAGGAACAGGCCGTCTGGGCTCCGGCCTGCAATATCCCGCTCCCCCTCCTGCCCCTTTGAACTCACCCCGGGAGCGGCTCGTTTAAAGCCTCATGAAAAGGGTTTCCTGAGAATAAAGCGCTCCCAGCCCAGGTCCTCCCGGCCTCCGTGTTACCAGACGCCGGCGGGCGGGTTTAAAGGCCTCGCCGGTCCGCGGGCCTCGCTGGCCGGCCCCGCGCTCGTGAAAGGCGGGAAGGCGCACCCGGGGCCCGTTCCGCGCCTTTATGTGGCCTGTTGTGCGCGTAACGGGCGTTTATGGAGCCCCCGGGGGTGGCACTCACGTGTCTGCAGGCCGAGCCGCAGCACCGGCCCCTCTGCTTGTGGGCCAGCCGCGTGAGCACCAGGTAGCCGGTGGCCGGGTCCACGTAGGTCAGCTGCTGGGCCTGCGGGGTCGTCGAGAAATAAAAGGATCCTTTGGTCTCCACCTTCGCCTTTTCTCCTCACCCCGAGTTCTACCCACAAAATGACTCCTGACAAAAATAACAGAATAACTGCCCAGTGCCCTTAAAACGAGATGGCCCCGGCTGGGGTGGATCAGGGGTGAGCGTCGACCGAGGAACCGGGAGGTCCCGGTTCGATGCCCGGTCAGGGCACAGGCTCTCTCATCATGGATGCTTCTCTACCTCTCTCTCTCTCTCCCTCTCCCTTCTTCTCTGAAATCAATTTAAAAAATATTAAAGCCCTAGCCGGTGTGGCTCAGTGGATAGAGCGTCGGCCTGCGGACTGAAGGGTCCCGGGTTCGATTCCCGTCAAGGGCGTGGACCTTGGCTGCGGGCACATCCCCAGTGGGGGGGCGTGCAGGACGCAGCTGATGGATGTGTCTCTCTCATCGATGTTTCTGACTCTCTCTCCCTCTCCCTTCCTCTCTGTAAAAAATCAATAAAAAAATATATATATGTATATATTTTTAAATATTAAAAACAAAAACAAAAACAAAAACCCTTAATAGGAACCTCTCCCAAGCAATTTCAGGGCCCTTAGCAATCAAAGAACGCATTCCAATGTGATGCAGGAGCCGACTTCATGCGGGGGAGGAAATGCCCAGCTGGGGGGGACTGGGGGAGTCTGGGAGGGGGGCATTGGCGGGGGGGCGGATGGGAAAACAGGCAGCCCTTGTGCCCGGCCCGGCAGCCGCCGCTCAGGCGTGTTCCCCTCGGCCCCGGGCGCAGGTCTCCGAACAGGTGGCTTCAGAGGCTCCAACTTCAGAGGCTGCAGACCAGCTCCCGCTCAGAAGTGGCGCCGGGAGCTCGGGGGGAAATATGTGGCCGGTGATTGGAACGGACAGGAGAGGCGCTAATGGGGATCCCGTTATGGCCGCCCGAGACGGGCACCGCGCCGAGGGCTCTGCGCTGTTTTCGGAGGGCGATTAGTTCTGTTTTTACACACACACACACACACACACACACCCGCGCACCCAGAAACCCGGCATTGTTTGACCCACGTTAACACTCCCTGCGTTCACGGGTTTGATCAAAAGCAACTTTGATTTGTATTTTATTTTTCTGTTATTAATCACCGGAGGATAATTTTGTCCATGGATTTTTACCTTTTCATTTTTATTTTTACGGAGAGGAAGGGAGAGGGATAGAGAGTCAGAAACATCGATGAGAGAGAAACATCGGTCAGCTGCCTCCTGCACGCCCCCCACTGGGGATGTGCCCGCAACCAAGGTCCATGCCCTTGACCGGAATCGAACCCGGACCCTTCAGTGCGGAGGCCGATCCACTGAGCCACACCGGTCAGGGCTCCATGGATTTTTAGAGAGAGACGGAGGGAGGGAGGAGACACACAGAGAGAAGCATCGAGGCGGGAGAGACAGCGATGGGTTACCTCCCACTGTGCCCTGACCAGGGCCAGAGATCCGGCCCCGACTGAAGTACATGCCATACACCACAGAAAGACACATAGTACACAGATGCAAACACACACACAAAGTACTCGGAAACACACACACAGAAAGACAGACACGCATACTCACACACACACACACACACCACCCCGGAGTGATGATGTTTAGCTCACGCACTGATCAGAAAGTCACACTCATTCTCAGGACGGACAGACAGACGTTAGCTCTCAGCCCCCTGACCCTGACCTAACCCTAACCCTAACCCACATGTGTCAAACTCAAGGCCCGCGGGCTAAATCCGTCCCGCCAGGCCTTGCAATGTGGCCCGCACCGCGCTGTCATCACTGCACTCCGCTGCGTTTCCATCATAATGACAGTTTATGACTGTTCAGTAAACCATTCGGCCCGCGATTTAGGCTGGATTTTAGATTTTGGCCCCTTCTCTGATTGAGTTCGACACCCCTACCCTAACCCCTAACCCTAACCTGTAACCGGGTAACCGCTAACCAGGTAACTGTTAACTAGTAACCGGGTAACTGGTAACCATTAATCAGGTAACTGGTGACCAGGTAACTGGTGACCGTTAATCAGGTAACTGGTAACTGCTAACCGGGTAACTGGTGACCGCTAACCAGGTAACTGGTAACAGGTGATCGGTAACTGGTAACCGGGTAACTGGTAACAGGTGATCGGGTAGCTGGTAACCAGGTAACTGGTAACCGGTGACCAGTAACTGTTAACCGGGTAACTGGTGACCGTTAATCAGGTGACTGGTGACCGCTAACCGGGTAACTGGTAACCAGTAAGCAGGTAACTGGTAACCTGGTATTGATTGGCCCAGCGGGCAGGAAGCTGCTTCTGTCAGAGGCCTGAGTCCCGCCCTCCTTCTGGGACGCGCAGGCGCACTGGCTCAGGGGGCCCAGGGAGGGGCAGGGGGCGGGGCAGAGGCCTCACCGCGCAGGCGCAGGGGGCGGGGCCTCGCCGCGCAGGCAAACGGCCGCGGGCGGCACAGGGGGCGGGGCCTCAGGGCGCAAGGGGCGGGGCCTCACCGCGCAGGCGGCCCCGTGCAGGTCGGCGATCCGCCGCTCGGCCGCCGTCAGCGCCGCGGGCTCCAGGGTCCCCGCCGCCGCCGGGCCGTCCTGCGGGCGGGGCCCCCCGTCGCCGCGCTCTCCTCCCTCCGGAGCGGAGCAGAGCGGGGCCCCGAGGGGCTGGCGGAGCCCTGCCGAGACCCAGAGGGGCCGGGCCGCCCGGGCGGCGGGAGGCCGTCCCCCGAAGGTCGCGGTCACCAGCGCCGGAACCCGCCTGGCCGCCATGGCCGCCGTGGCCGCCGGGCCGCCCCGCCCCCTCCGAGCGCCCGCCCCGCCCACACTGAGCTAGCCACGCCCCTCCGAGCGCCCCGCCACACCCGCCACCGAGGTAGCCCCGCCCACCGCCCAGATAGCCCCGCCCCCGCCGAGCCCGCGGCGGCAGGGAAACCAATGAACTGCGGAGGCAGTGGTCAGCAAACTGCGGCTCTTCGGCCCTCTTGTTTTAACTCTTTAAGATTTCTTACAGAGAGGAAGGAAGACGAATAGAGAGTTAGAAACATCAGTCAGCTGCCTCCTCCACACCCCCCACCGGGGATCGAACTTGCAACCTGGGCCTGTGCCCTTGTCTGGAATCGAACCCGGGACCCTTGTGTCTGCAGGCCGCCGCTCTGTCCACTGAGCCACACCAGCCAGGGCTCCGTTGATTCTTTTAGAGAGAGCGGAAGAGAGAGAGGAAGAGACAGACAGAAACACCGATGTGAGAGAAACACCTCGACTGATTGCCTGCCTCCTGCCTGTGCCCTGACCAGGGCCGGGGCCAAGGAGGAGCCTGCCACCCAGGGTACGTGCCCTTGACCGGACTCGAACCCGGGACCTCTCTGTCCGCAGGCGGATGCGCTCCATCCCCTGAGCCAGAGCAGCTGGGGCAGCATGGTGTTTTCAGAATGAGGCGGGCGGCCGCAGTGCTGCAGGGGTCCCCCCGCCCCCGACACACACACACACACACACACACACACACACACACACACCCCGACACAGCCGACAAGAGATCATGGTCAAGGCCGTGCAGACACACAAGCCGCAGATCCAGGCCGCTCTCCGCGCTCTCTCGCTGCCCGAGGGAGGCAGGCATGGCCGCCGTTCCGTGACCGCGATGAGAGGCCAAACACCCGTGACATCGACACGCCTGCCCGGCCCGCCCGGCGTGAGCCGTGTTCGCATCCTCCCAGGGACACGCCTGGGCGAGCAGCCCAGCGCCCGGCCTGCCGGCCCGGGAGCTTTGCTGCAAGATGGCAAAGTCGGGCACCTTTTCAATCCCGGGGAGCGCCCATCGGCCGCTGCGGGTTCGCCCGGGGTGTCGCCCGGCGCATGGACACGCTGGGACCCTCCTAGGAGGGCGCCGTCCTCGCCCGTGGTCCCATCCGGGCACCGCAGGGGCACGCGTCGGCCAGCAGGGCCGTGAGCTCAGCCCGTGTGTGCCACGTTGTGGGGCCAGTGCAGATGGCACCGGTGAAGGTGGTGGCTGGTGGAGGCCTGCCCAGCAAGGCTGCCGTCATCCTGGTGTGACAGCCGTCCGTCCGCCCGCCCATCCGTCCGGGACACGCCCTGGGCACCCAGCCACCGGTCCACCGTCCGTGATAGGAGGAGCGTGCGTAGCGTGTTCTGTCTGCCATTTCGCTGCATTTCATTCATTTTAAAGGTTTGTATTGATTTCAGAGAGAGGAAGGGAGAGAGAGAGAGAGAGAGAGAGAGAGAGAGAGAGAGAGAGAGAGAGAGGGAGAGAGAGATCCGTGATGAGAGAGCATCATGGACCGGCTGCCTCCCGCACGCCCCCCACTGGGGAGGGAGCCCGCAACCCGGGCCTGTGCCCCGACCGGGAATCGAACCCCGACCTCCTGGTTCAGAGGTCGACGCTCTGCCCCGGAGCCACGCCCCCGGGGCGTGCGGGAGGCAGCCGGTCCATGCTTCTGTCTCATCTTGGATGTTTCTCTCTCTCTCTCTCCCCCCCCCCCTCTCTCTCTCCCCCCTTCCTCTCCGAAATAAAAAAATAAATATATATTAAAAAAATAAAAATAAAAAGGCCCTAACCTGGTTGGCTCAGTGGACAGAGCGTCAGCCTGCGGACTGAAGGGTCCCGGGTTCGATGCCGGTCAAGGGCATGGACCTTGGTGGCGGGCACATCCCCAGTGGGGGGGGGGAGGGGGCGCGTGCAGGAGGCAGCGGATGGATGTTTCTCTCTCATCGATGTTTCTGGCTCGCTCTCCCTCTCCTTTCCTCTCTGAAATAAAATAGATATTAAAAAAAAATATACAAAGAAACTGTTCAGCAACACGCACGTGGCCTGGCCTGAGAACCCTGGGTACACGGAGGAAGGTGAGGGTCCCAGGAGATGCAGGGACGCCGGCCTGCAGGACTCCGATGCCCCCGGGGGAGCAGGAGTGGGGAGGGCCCTGCTGGGGGACAGGACGGGGCGGGAAGGGTTAAGCTCACGCCTGGCGCTCACACCGGAGCCTGTGGCCTGCTGTCTGCTGTCTGCGGAGCCCCCGGCCCCGGCTGGTGGGAGGGTGACTCGCAGGGGGCCGCCCGCCGGCCCCAGCAGCCGGGGAGCCCCGGCCCGGCCTGGCTCCGTCCTCCGGCCGCTGATAAGGTATCGCAGCCGGGCATTGCCCCGGGACGGACGATGCTGGCGTTTAAAATACAGCCGGGGCGTATTTCATGTTGGCTCCCCTCTGTTTTCCTTCCGCCCTCCTCCTCCTCTGAAGAAACATTAGTCTAACTTCTCAAGCTCCTCAGAGGAGACACCGCCGTGTTTGTTCTTCCCGTCGGCCTCCCCCCACCGCTCTCCCCGCCGCCCCCAGGCCCCCGGGTCCCGGGAAGGAGGTCCCAGGCACCCCGTCGCCTTTTCTTAGCCCCGATGATGTCCGAGAGGCAGAAAAGGTTAGGAATCACCCCATCCTGCGAACTCACCTCAATAACGGCGAGCCATCCCTCCATGCCCCTGGCCATCCCGCTGGCTACGGTGATTTCCACGGTCTCTTGGCATCAGAGTGAAGGTCGTGTCTGCACAGCGCCGTGGATGGAGGATCACCTCCTTCTCTTTTAGGCTGAGGTGCCCCGTCCCTGGCTGTCTTCTTTCTTGGGGTGTATCTGATGAAAAACCCGCCCTTTGTTTTGCTTCTTGAACTCCAGTGGCTCCACTGAAGATATTTAAAAAATATATATATTTTTTGTTGATTGATTTTACAGAGAGGAAGGGAGAGGGAGAGAGAGACCCAGAAACATCGACGAGAGAGAAACATCCATCAGCTGCCTCCTGCACACCCACCGCTGGGGATGTGCCCGCAACCAAGGTCCATGCCCTTGACCGGCATCGAACCCGGGACCCTTCGGTCCGCAGGCCAACGCTCTACCCACTGAGCCACACCAGTCAGGCAGGTCTCTGCGCCTTTTTATCAGCCAGGTTGTAAGTGCGTTTGCAGGGCTTCCACGTGGACACAGTCAGGCTCGGGCCGCTGGAAGGTGTGTCTGCCGCTTTCTCTGGGGGATCGATCGGTATTGATCTGTATCGATCTGGGAGGGCCATGTCGGGCGGGGGGCCGGTTTTCAAGCACAGACACCGTTCCCCACGAGATGATGTACGCCGACAGCCCCGTCCATCATCACACGACAGGCACGCAGGCCCGAGACGCCCCACGCTGGCCGCACGCTGATTACACGGCTATAACTCACGGGGCCCTCGCCGGACCGTGACGGCGAGCTGTGCCCCCGCGGGTTATTTATGCCCGTGTTATCTCCACCGGGCGGCGGGGGGGGGGGGGGACGCCACCCCAAAGTGGGATCCCTTATCTCCTCCGGGCCCCGTGCCGAGCGGCACTGCAGGGCGGCGCGAAGCCAGCCGGCCCCGGCGGGGTGCCCCCCCTCCCCCCCTCGAACCCGGGCACGGCCACAAATCAGGCCTCCTCTGCCGTGCGGTTCAAGGTCTGGAGGAGAGGAAGGGAGGGGGGGGTGGGGGGGGAGTGTGGGAAAGCAGAGAATGAACTGGAAAGGGGATGCTGAGTGCAGCGCCCTGCGTGAGGAGACGGCCCACCCCCCACGCTGGGGCCCAGGACTGCACCCCCATAACGGAGAAGCACCCACGAGGAGAGGGAATCGGGGACCGGCTGCCTCCCGCACGCCCCCCACGGGCATCGAGCCCGCAGCCCGGGCCTGTGCCCTGGCCGGGCGTCGAACCTCAGCCTCCTGGTGCACAGCTCGAAGCTCAACCACGGAGCCACGCCGGCCGGGCTGGATTCAACTCAGCTTGAGTCCACTGTTCTCAGGGAGACCACGGTTCGAGTCCCGCTCAGGGCACAGGCCCGGGGGGCGGGCTCCATCCCGGTGTGGGCGTGCAGGAGGCAGCCGGTCCGCGATGCTCTCCCCTCATTGACGCGTCTAACTCTCTCTTCCTCTCCCTTCCTCTCTGAAATCAACCATAGATATAAATAATATATATTAAAAAAAATATATATATATAAAAATATATCATATATATAAAAATAAATAAATTATATATATATATAATTTATTTTTTTACAGAGAGAGAGAGAGAGGGGAGAGAGAAACATCCATCAGCTGCCTCCTGCACACCTCCCACCAGAGATGTACCCACAACCAAGGTCCATGCCCTTGACTGGAATCGAACCTGGGACCCTTCAGTCCACAGGCCGATGCTCTATCCACTGAGCCACACCAGTCAGGGCTATTTTATTATTATTATTATTATTATTATTATTATTATTATTATTTAAAGAGAAAGAGCTCAGCAGACAGGCGGCCGGGTGTGGGCACAGGTGGTTTTCTGTGCCACCTGCCAGGGCCGTGGTCCCGGCATCGAGTCTCCCGCGCAGGAAAGATCCGGACAGTTTCCCGTGTGGACCTCTCCCACCCGCCCTGGCATCGGCCCAGACCCTCTGTTTATCCCCTCGGGTCCCGGACAAAGAGGAGGAGACACATTCTCACGGCCCCGGAGGAAGTGGAAGGGGAGGTCTTGGCAGCGGCCGTGAAACAGGAAACAAACAAACAAACAAACCGGGAGGCTGAGACCAGGACGCGGGGCCACGGGGCGCGCGAGGAACGGGAAGGGGAGCTGAAACCGTGTGGCTCAGTGGAGAGAGCGTCGGCCTGCGGATTCAAGGGTCCCGGGTTCGATTCCGGTCAAAGGGCATGGACCTTGGTACCACACCGGCTGGGGGGCTCTGATCTCCTCCCACTCTGTCACATTTCCTCTCGTGATAATCACAGTAGCCTCGCTGTACCAAACTCTAATAATATTAATAATAACAACCATAACA